TGACTCACCTCCTCTGGATGACGAAATAGGAAAATCCACAATTACTGTGTAGGAATCTGCAGTGGTTCGTATCTACGACATGAGGGTAGCATGGCGGAACGGCAGGCAGAGAGACCGACACTACCGGCCGGAACAACAAGCGTTAATCTACCTGCAAAATAAGCCTCTGAGGAGCCTGCTCTGCTCTCCTTAAAGGTGTTGTCAAGCCATTTGGCCATTCTGCCTGCAGCCCCTCCGTTGAGCGTTCTACCACAACTGGTAGTTATAATTATCCGCAAAGGCCAAAAATGAGCTTAGTTCACAACCTCCACGTGAGATGATCAGGAAGGCTTGATCAAGAATTTTGTGAAACTATTCCAGAGGAAGAATATCTTGATCATGGTGGAATTCTTTCCAAAGTGCCTTCACATGTTTTTAGTGTCAATCTCTAACTTCTGCTGCTATATGCTACTTATTCACAGCAAGCCGGTAGCCGGTTTCTACTGTTTATGATAGGAGACCTGCATCTGTGTTTGAAGACCTTGTCAAAAGGCCCTGTAACTAGGCTGCCAGCCCTTAAGCCTTGATGAAGAATTCCTATTGGCAGCTGAGGATGGCCTAAGGTGGGCTGAGGGAGAAAACGAACCATCGCTCAGTAAGCTGTTAACGTGCCCACAACTGGAGCCACCTGTGACTGCCCAGTATTAATTGCGGTACTAGCTCAAGATAAATGTCTTTATGCAAATTTAAGCGTTTATAAGATCAACTTGCATCTTGAAATAGTTGTTCCTGGTTGACTGCCTACCATGTACCAGGTTCTGTGTTAAGATCCTTGCATATATTATCACATTTAAGTTCTCATAAAAACACGTAACAACAGCTAACACTTATTTAATCATCACTGTATGACAGACTGTATAGACAGCTTTGCATACACATCTCAACCCTGATTATACCATTTAATGTGGCTGTTGCTATTATTCTTCTCTAACAAAACAGGAAACTAGGCTATAGTCAGAGTGGGAAACATGAACTTGTCACATAGTAACCGAGACGGCCCTCCAGAGCTTGTGCTTCTAGCCACTTCACAGAGATGCCTCTCTGTCAGATGGTTGGACTGGTTGCCATCACTTTACCATTCGGCATGTAACTTTTCTCAAGGCCACAATGTTAGGAAATGGTAAAGAGCATGATGGGTGCATCTCTCTCAAACCCTGGGCCTGCTTTGCCAGTTCACCAATTGCTTTCCTGTTCTAGACAGTTCTGTTTATATATGTTCTTCAATAGTCTGTATGTAAGGTTTAAAATTTTTAAAGAAATTATAGAGCAGGGGAAAATGAGGGTTTCTGCTACTGTCAATGAAGCAATGGAAACTGAATTATGCAATATTGAGCCTTAAGATGAGCCAGCAAATCATCATTCCTACCTAAATCAGCTGAGAACCTTCTCCCTAAAGGAAGGCTTGGTCCTGGTAGAGCCACAGAACACTTCTTTTGGATTACATACTTTTCTTTTTTTTTTTTTTATTTTTTTTTAATGTTTATTTATTTTTGAGAGAGACAGAGACAGGATGTGAGTGGGTTAGGGGCAGAGAGAGAGGGAGACACAGAATCCAAAGTAGGCTCCAGGCTCTGAGCTGTCAGCACTGAGCCCGACGCGGGGCTTGAACTCACAAGCTGTGAGATCATGACCTGAGCCGAAGTCAGACACCCAACCGACTGAGCCACCCAGGCACCCCTACATACTTTTCTTTATACTGTTCTGTATTTTCTAAATTTTCTACAATGAAAGTGTTACTTTTTAAACTAAATGGTCACAGGTAATGCTGAATACATTCTCATGTTAAACATTCCACACAAAGCCCTTCCCTTAAACGCTCACCTTCCACTCCCCTATTCTAGACCTCCTTTCTAGAGGTAATCATAATTTATAAGTTTGTATGAATTCTTTTGCATGATGGACTGCACTGTCCTATAAAGAAATCACTACCCATATGTGGCTATTGAACACTTGAAATGCCCTAGTTCAGGGGTGCCTGGGTGGCGCAGTCGGTTAAGCGTCCGACTTCAGCCAGGTCACGATCTCGTGGTCTGTGAGTTCGAGCCCCGCATCAGGCTCTGGGCTGATGGCTCAGAGCCTGGAGTCTGTTTCCGATTCTGTGTCTCCCTCTCTCTCTGCCCCTCCCCCGTTCATGCTCTGTCTCTCTCTGTCCCAAAAATAAATAAACGTTGAAAAAAAAAAATTAAAAAAAAAAAATAAAAAAAAGAAATGCCCTAGTTCAAATTGAAATGTACTTGTAAGCATAAAATACACATGAAATTTAAAGACCAAATATGAAAAAGAGTGTAAAATAACCTCATATAATTTTTACACTGATCACGTGTTGAAATGACAGTATTTTAGATGCACTGAGTTAAATAAATCAAAATAAATAAAGTGTAGTATTAAATTAATGTCATGTTTCTTTTGATCTTTTTAAATATAGGTACTAGAAAATGTGGCTTAAATTATATTTCTATTGGCCAGAACTGCTCTGAAGTCTAGATCACGTTTAGTATGTTTACATACTTACATATAGAAATATATAGTTTTTGTATGCATTACTTTCACACTTGGACTAAAAATGTTTTTCTTAAAAGAGTATAATCTTGAAATGCATTGAGCATTAAATTAATTCCTTTTTCCCTTCCTTTCTCTTCCCCACCCTACCCACCACCTCCAACACACATACTTCTTGACAACCAAAAAAGCCTCAGAGTGAAGAAAGCAATAATTATTCTTGACCATACAAATGCTGAAGTGGGAACACCTGATAACTGGATTAAGTCAACCCAGGCACAGAGTAACAAAGGGTATCTCCTTTTTGGATAAAAGAAAGTGCTAGTCAATGGAGGAAGGCTTTAGAGTTAGTGGGTCCCAGACAAAAGACATAGGAAATAGCTACATTTGCCAAAAATGACCAGTAGTTATTTTTAAATAACTAGATCCAAATTTGTTATTCTTGTCATCTATTCCTCTCAGATTTTTTTTCCAGAAAGCGTAGTTCCATTACTTTATGTTGGGTGACTACGTACTACTAACTACTTTTCCATTTGATCATTATTTTCTATAAAGCACCACCTCAGTTCAGCTACTGATAGTTGCTGGAAATAAATGCTGACATATGTGACCACCTCTGACTTGTTGGAGGCTATAAGGTACCCAAAATTTTTGTTTGGTCTAAGCAAATATCTAAAAGTGAATCTAGTTCAGAAGACTCTGCAAGGAAATGACCCCAAACAGGTGTCTGTTCTCCCCCACTTAAAAAATGCCTGCCTGCATACACATAAACAATTTATACACACCACACTGTTCTAAGTGAACTGGGAACACGTTCACATGCAGCATTCTTGTGTTAGGCTGGAAGGGTGTTTACCATGTTTTAGCAAGGCCTTAGCACATGCAACACATTAGCAATTATTACTTGGCCTCAGTGTAGAACCTCCTTGAGGGCAGAGGAGAGAAAAGAACATTAGGCATGAGCAGAGGTGCTGTGATAACTCATTATTTTCATTCCCATGCTCCTTGGTGCTCTGTCCCATTTGCGTCCCTCTGGTTACGTGCTACCTTGATAAAGGACGGTAGTTGAATACCTGTTTTCCTTTGCCCCCCTCTTGCTGCCCTGACAAACTTCCCAATGACTAAAATGAGGCCATCCAGGGGAGGAGCTCCAAAATTTTCTTCTAGTTGGTAGTTCTGCTTGTCTAACAAATCAAAATTTCCTTGAACAGATTTCATGGGGGCTGCTCCATTTCGATAGGGCATTGGAAAAGCGTTTCTTCTCTTTTCTTCCTATTCCTTACCACCTTTTTCCTTCATTCAAGGAAATAGAAAACAAAACAGAAACAAAGACCAGGGCAATACAGCAATTGTCAATCTTTTCCAAAGTGCTCTATATATCACTTTAATTAAGGCAACTTTTTGAAACTTAAAAAAAAAAATCACCCTTAATTAGGATTGACTTCATCTGAGTGGAGAGCATCTGCTGAAGCAGCCCAACCCTGTCCCCCTTGGGTCTTGGCAGCTACAGGTGAGCTGGGCCCCCTTCTCCTTTCCCACACCCCTGCTTAAGAAGTTGCCAGGGAGCTCTCAGGCAGTATCAGCAGGCAGGAAGCAGGGTGGGAGTGAGGGGGGTCTCCACCCATTAGCAGCTGCTTAAGTAGTAGGCAGGGGAACTATTCTACAGAGAACTTCAGGTCAGCAGATACTCCAAGGCAATTTACACCACATGCTACCCAGTTGTGGAATTAAATTAAAATGCTGAGGAAGGACCTGGAATGCCAATCTCCTTTTCTCCCTACCTTGTGCTTGGCACCCAAAAGAATAAAACAAGAACAGTTGGACTTGGGGGTTTTAAGGGAATTATTAGGCAACTGGGAGGAAGTGAAGGCAGCATACACCAAGGGAAGCTGTCTTCATGGAGCATCATGTACCAGTGATTAAATGTCAGGACCCATCATTGTCCAAAGGGTGACGTCTATACAGGTTTAGTAACTTGCTCATTCCAATTAAACCAAAAGACAAGCTTGACAGATTATCAGAATCTTTGGGGGAAGGAGGTGGGTGGAGTGGAGAAAGGAGTGAGGTAATTTTAAAAAATGACTTCATAATTTTTTTAAAAGGCACAATATTCTCACTTCAGTGATGTTTGCTTCAATCTTTTCCAGTATAATATGAAATAGAAGTTTTGCCAAAAGTAGGGAAAACATTTCCAAATAAGTCACTATAGATTACATTACAAATCTAAAATAAAAACAGGTAAACATGTGTTTGCCCATCAGACTTTAGTATATTTTTGTTAACACTTTCCTTGTGGAAGAAATTTGACTTTTTCTTACGTTACTTCCTTAACAATAATTTGCTACAGCTTTAACAAGTGAGTAAGAGCTGGGCTCATAATTATATACATATACATATACACCCACTATATATAAAACAATTTTTTATGTTCCCTCACCAATAGGAAAACATTAAGTGATTACCTCTGTAAATTTGTTCCGATTCGCTTGCAAGCCAACCTTTACTACCTCAAAAGGGTTAACCACGATAGCTTCTGTTAGTCCAGATCCTAATCCAGCAATGGCAAATGTCTATAAAAAATGAAATCAATCAATATTTTAAAACAAGTTATGTGTACTAGGTTAAACATCCTACTCGTTACACTCTGCAGCTGAATGTTATGTTGAGAATGAAGAAACTTACATAAATGCACCATATACCATTACTAAACAGGTTTAGTTCTTGATTAGATGCTGACAATTCATGAAGAAGAAATTACAGAAGCCACAAACCACATCCTAACAATTCAAAATAAAATGTCAAAGCCCCATCAACAACGACTTTTTCCTTAATGAAAAGAAAGGTTGTTTTAGTGATTTAAGGTGGATACTAAAACATCTGCACATGTAACAATTAAAAGAGAGTTTGGCCTGTAAAAGGAGAGCTTCATTTTTAAAACAGCTAACTTAAATCCTTATTGAGCGTCTAAAAAAATTCAAGGAGCAGAATCAAAAATAAAATGTTTATAAAAAGCTGAGTTTCAGGTGACCAAACACTGCAGCTGAAAACATTTAAATGTATAGCCCTGTTGTTAGAGTCACTATTCTAGATAATTAACAAAAAATTTTTATTCATCCTTTCCCTATTAAAAAAAAACAGACAACCGCCCTATTCTTCTAGCCATAGAAGCTGAGGAATAAAAGTTGAGATCAGAAATGGCTAGGTTGTTCTGAAGGCTCAGCTAAAATCTAGAACATCAAAGGATGATGTCAGGTTCTTACTTGCTCTCAATTAAGAATTTCTGCAAGAAATTAAAAAAGAACAACTTTCTAGAATTTTCCTCAAAGTAAAATGCTTAAGGGTTTTGCAGAAAATCTGTATCGAAAATAACCAGAACAGGGGCACCTGGGTGGCTCAGTCCATTGAACATCCGACTTCAGCTCAGGTCATGATCTCACGGCTCTGAGTTCGAGGCCTGCAACTGGCTCTGTGCTGACAGCTCAGAGCCTGGAGCCTGCTTTGGATTCTGTGTCTCCCTCTCTGTCTGCCCCTCCCTGGCTCATGTTTTGTCTCTCTCAAAAATAAAATGTTTAAAAAAATTTTTTAAAAGTTAACCAGAACAATTAACACACACACACACACACACACACACACACACACACACACACACACACACACACTCCAGAAAAACAAAATGAAATAAAGCCTCAAATCTCCAAAACAGATGCTGAAAAAAAAATCCTTTAGCGCTGAAGCTCTAATTCCAGAAGAGGTGATAGTATATACAACCAAAAGAAGAAAAAAGCCAATGAAGAGCAAAGAACACATAACTCTTACCAGGGGTTTCTAATTTCTTCAAATAGGAGACCAAAAGAGAAAAGAGACAGGAATATTTCGTAACCTTGGAAGAAAAGGCAAGATAGAACAAGGGAGCATCCAGAGCCAGGAGGTCTGAGTTTAGGTCCTGGTCGTGCCACTGATTGGATGTATGACCACAGCTGCCATGTACAGTAGTTTGTGCACAGAAAAAGGTGTGTGTGTGTGTGTGTGTGTGTGTGTGTGTGTGTGCGCATCTGAAATCCAGCCTGCATCCCACTTGCCAAGCTGGACCTCTGGAGAGGTGTCAGTCAGGAGAAAGGGCGCCTTTTCACAACTCACACAAAGGTAACATGTGCTAGCGGCAGCTCTGTGTCTAAATCACTGAACCTTTCATAAGCCATGGTTTTCTCATCTGTAAAATGGGGACAATGCTATCTAATCTCCCTAACTCATAAGGGAATTACGAGGATCAAAACAATGTGTGAAGCCCTTTGTAAAGTGCTATACAAAAGCCATTGTTCCTGTTGCACATAAAAATGAAGAGGAAGAATGGGATAGCATACAGATTCAAGGAGAGAGGGAATAATTAATGTTTTCCTTTCATGCCCCTTCATTACGGTTTTAAACATATTTGTATAGAGTAACAGACCAAATATTTTATTCATTTATCTCAGATTTTCATCATGGAAGCCAAAACGTGTGTGTGTGTGTGTGTGTGACACACACACACACACACACACACACACACACACAAATACTAGTCCCAAACTCTTCTGACTAGGAAAGCTAAAATCCAGATGTTCAGGTTTTTATTACTTACTATATGCAACCTTGCAAGTAATTCACTTTTTTGCTCTTCTATAAAACTCAGCTACATTTGCTGTCAGGACTAGTGTTCAGCAGTCCCTTGTCAAAAGAATTGATCAGCTATCAGCAGATCATGTTACTTAGATTATTCCAGAGACCAGTGGTAATAGTTGGGTTCCCAGCCCCCTAGGCTTTTCATGTGAGAGAACCAGGGGACATTTAAGGGCTGTTTAAGTGTCTAGCTGTATCAAAAAGAAGCTGGAATAAATGAGTTCAAGAAAAGAGAAAAACTGCCTACAGTTTGCATGCATTCAGTTATAGTAGCTCGAGTGGCCAAATGCTTTTCTGTTTTAATTCTCAAGAGTGGAGAGAACTGCCGTCCCTCACATGGTACCAATGCTCGACACTGGAACAGCCAGCTGGCCCTCTGGAGACCACATTTTATTGTCTTTTGCTAGGAAGTTTTTAATCCTCTCTTTACCAAGATGTTTTCAAAGAGTGACATTAAGAGACGACAGCAAGGCATTAAAAAAAATCTTAGCTAATATTAGGACTCATTCTGCCACTTCCTCCATTCAAGGTTACTTCACAGCCAACTTGTCTAGGCAGGAGGCTGGACAAGAAGTCTCCTAACAGGATCCTTCCTAGAAAAGAGGCATGTATGGTTTTAAAAATAACAGATACTTCTTCTTGGACAGTTTATTTGGCAGAGTAAATATTCTGAAGTGAACCTTTACAAGTTAAGTAACTGAAAAGTTGAAGCTCAGAACACTGCCTCTCTGGTTGAGTTTTGAGGTACATTTGAGAAGATAAACTGGGGGACTTTTCCAGGGGCTGGAAGGTACACTGTCAGTTAGAGGACCAATGCATATGTTGTTTTGCTTTGTTTTCCAGATTTGGTGGGAGAAAAAAATAGTGCATTTTCTCTCTCTTGGGCTCTTGTTGCACACATACTTGTAAAACCCATTTGGTCAATATAATCTGTCTTGTGAAAAGCAGCAAAGTCACCAAGAAGGAGAGGAGTGGCATGGAGAAATGTTCAAATCACCAAATGATTTTCTTGTGATAGCTGAGATGTGTCACTGTTTTTTTAAGTTTATTTATTTATTTTGAGAGAGAAAGAGAGAGTGGGGGTGGGTTGGGCAGAGAAAGAATCCCAAGCAGGCTCCATGCTGTCAGCACAGCCCAACTTGGGGCTTGATCCCACGAACCATGAGATCATGACCTGAGTTGAAACAGAGTCGGAGGCTTAATCGACTGAGCCACCCAGGCACCCCAACTGAGATGTGTCATTGTAACATCACTGTTCTCAACTACAAAAGGCCCTTCTGCATCTGACTACAGGGTGACTTGAAGTCCTATATTTATTTACTACAGCTTGAGCAAAAGCTGGAAAAGTGACCTGTTAGGAAATGTTTTAGGCATACTGACTTTTGCACAAATAGATACGTTCAGTATGTAGGTAAACATATGCATGTTTTGGCTTTAACAGAATCTTTGACAAATGTACTCTTTATTTTATATTCTTGGCCATATCTCATATGAGTCCTTCCACACATATCATTGTTGTCATAAATTCATCACCGGGAACTATAAAATAGCCAAATTGTGAGTTATTAGGAAGATGGCTTTCAACAAGTAGCTGAACATTGAATAACTCGAATTCATATTTTAGTAGCTGGGCTTGGGGAATCAAAAGGGTTTTTGTTTCCAGATTTTCCTTTATGAAATAACTCACACACTTAAGTATAATAAATACTCTCACTTACCAATGCTGGTGACAGTGACACATATCCTAGCAATTTCTTGTACTGCTCGAAGGTGAAAAACTGTGAAATAAAACCAAACCCAGAGATTTATAACAATTTCCTGCAACAAACCCTTTAATTGACTCAAATTTCTTTAGTCAATCATTATATTAACCAGCATTTTAGAAAATGATAAACCATCGAACATAGTTTTTAATCTGGTCTCGGGTAGTTACTATTGAATCTTACTTTACCATTGGCATTTTCAAATGCAACTATAATAACCTACAGAAGAGCTGATGGAATCCTTTATAGCAGTAAATGAAGCATACAGCTTCCATTTACCATGACCATTTTCAGTTTCCCCAGACATCAATAGACTTCTTTTTTATGGCAGTGATTCAAAATTATAGGCATAGAGACCTGAAATCTCTGGTCTCCTATGTTTTCTCTCTGAACTGCTTTCCCAGTGAATGCCCAATTTTCTAGCCCACTTGTAAAAGACATCCACTTCTCATCTTTAACTTGAATTTATATTACTGTGTATCTCTCTTGTTTCATGGAATGTTTAAACACTCACTGATAACGAAGACAGCATGGTAAAACAGAGAAAGACCTAACGAGGTCAGCTTGTCCATCCTGACTTAAAGCAAGACTGTCTTCAACGTGAATAAAGAAAGAGCGCTGTTTATTCCTTCCTTTAAAATTTGATGATGATGAAGATTTTGTATATTCCTTCATTAGGTAACATGTAATAGAATTTTCTCTGCAAATAAATTTCTATGGAGGCAAATCTAATCAGACTTCATACAATGTTCCCCAATACATTTCTCTCCTCTCTTTCTATACTCTGCATTTTGGGCAACGACTCTGCTTGATCATGATGTTTTGCTCCTGGGTGCTCTTTTAGGTAGCTGCCTATATCACTGATAGGGCACAATCTTCGGTCCTGCTAGGGTCTGATTTTTAAGACCCCAGAAATGGCATGGTCTCAAGTGTCTTCTACTCTATACTTTATAATCCAATAAAATGGGGGAAGGAAAAAAAGTGGAATTGGGGGTTAAATAATACTCTGTTGTTAGAAGGAGGTAGTTCCATGTAGACATGGCTCCATGAGTCGTTGGGTAGACCTAAAATCATTTTATCACTGGATAGATTTTGATCCTTTTAAAGACTCAGGAATGACTTTTGTGTCATGCTTCTATAGCTCAACTATGGATGTAGACTTTTGGAAGGAAAAGTTATTGTCTTAGGCTTTAAAGATAAGTTTTTTCCTTCGTTTTTTAATGGTCATTATCATCACTATTCTTTGACAGTCACCTTGCTGGGGTTTGAGGGGAGCAGTCCTGGGACTGAAACCTGCCTATGCTACTGAGCTGTGAAAGCATGGGCAAGTCACCTGACCTTTCTAGCCTTGGAGAACACAAAACTTACCTTCTAGAGTATTCCTTAAATAATAGAATTTAAGCGGCGCCTGGGTGGTGCAGTTGGTTAAGCATCTGACTCTTGATCTTGACTCAGGTCATGATCTCGCGGTTTGTGAGTTCAGAGCCTGCTTGGGATTCTGTCTCTCCTGCTGTTTGCCCCTCCCCCACTTGTTCTCTCTCTCTCTCTCTCTCTCTCTCTCTCTCTCTCTCTCTCTCTCTTTCAAAATAAATATATAAAATTAAAAAAAAATAACAGAATTTAAGTAAGGTTTTATGACATGCCTGACATGAAGAGGACTTTCAGAATATCCTAGATTTTATTCTCTTTCTTTACTTTGACTAATAAAGAAGCCACAGATCCTTAGTATCCTTAGTTATTTGTATCACCTATGATAGCCAGCTGTGGTCCAGAAAACATGCTAAGGCCTTTGCATGTGCTACTGCATCGAACCCATACAAACCCATCAGGCAACAGGGTATAGTAAAACTATGATTCTCATTTTGTAGATACATGTCCTGCAGCTAGTGAGTGGAAGGACTGACACTCCCCTCCATAACTGCAAAGCCTGTGTATACTCTCAACCACAATACGTGCTCACTCATCGCTGAGCCGTGATTGTTGACAGTTTGGGATTCTCTGCCCTTGAGTTTTCTTACTGTTGAGGTCTTGCCTTCCCTGACCCTAGAAGCTCACAGTCCCTCAATGCAGAAGATTTCAAACTTTTCTGACCACAATCTAGGTAAAAAGTATTTATGTAACACTAACACACATACATGCACACACACACACACACGCACACGCACATGCACGCACGAATGCAGTATACACTTATATTAACTGAAACAAAATATTGCTATAAAACAATGTTTACCCCTTCACTATGTGTAATGCACTATGTTTCTATTCTGTTTCATGAAAAAAATTCTGGTCATGACCCATTAAATCTAGTAACCCACTAAGTTGATTTTAGGACTCATGTGTCATGGCCCACATTTGAAAACACTGAACATTGGGTTCAAGGAAGTTCTGGGATGGATGGACCTCACAAGAGGCCTCACTACCTGGTTCCCTTCCGCTGTGAGGAGGCGGTTTTGATTTTTGTCTTCCTTCCTTCCTTCCTTCCTTCCTTCCTTCCTTCCTTCCTTCCTTTCTTCCTTCCTCTTTCTCTTTCTTTCTTTCTTTCTTTCTTTCTTTCTTTCTTTCTTTCTTTCTTTCTCTTTCTTTCCAATTTTCTGTAATTACGAAGGATTAAGGACCATATTGGGATCTCAAGGGAGAAGCCTGGGGACATGGACTTGGCCTGTCACTGTAGCAATTCTCACAGGGAATCCCAAGTCTATGTTTTGGGGCAATTTTAGGCTCTTCATTTCCCCATCTCTAAAATTGTTTTTAAAAACCAAACTACTATTAATTAGCTTATTGGTGCTCATCAGACTTTTCTGGAAACTTTCAGTGAATGCTAGGATGAAATGATTCTGGTTCCAGAGAATAAAGAAGCCCCATAGATCATAGTGATGAATTGTTAATGTACTGAATTCAAAAGTAATGAACAATATATTATCATATATTCTAATAAGCAGATAGTGCTTCAAATAAATAATACAGGATCTTAAGGAAGGAAAAGCTAAAATCTTTTAAAACAAAGTTTCAGTAATAGTAAAATTATGTAAATATCATTACTACTGTCTGAAACCGATATTTACTAAAAAAAACATTCATTCATTCAACAAATATTTACTGAATGTCTCCCATGTCTCCCATGTTCAAAGATATTATGCCAGAACTGTATTCTTAGGAACTAGGAGATTAGCTATTATTTTAATTCCTCTCTATACAACACTACTGCTTTATGGCTTTCATGATACTTCTCGGTAATTTCTCATTCACAACACTGATCAATGCATAGATGTGATAAAAGTACCCTATCATGTGAGATATGAGGTTACTCTCTAAGGATACAATTAGGGGGGTCAACATGTAATAAAGTTACCTCCCCAAAGTCATACTGAGGTGTGAATAAAGAGTTTTGAAAACATTCATATCCAATCAAGTTTTTGGGAATTCTGAATATAAAATCTGGAATCCAAATGAATTATGTCATATATAACCTATGTACTGGAATCTAGGAGTTGATAGTCTCACCTAGGGAGAGGGGCACAAGCCATACAGTCTACGGAGAAGTGTCAGGTTGTGGTTTGGCAGGGGAGGTTGGTACCATTTGCCTGGGTGACACAGCCCTCCAGCACTTTTCCCTTTGCTTTATCTCATGCTCACTAAGCAGTCTGATGACTAACCTGACCTCCCAGGTATTCTGTTCAGGGATGCAGTTCAATTACATGCAAACAGTCTGATCCACTTGGATCTTTCTTTTAACTACCTAAGCAGTGCTCAGACTAGGGCTGATTATTCCCCGCTATTGAGGCAAACCCCTTCTGAGTACTCCTCTTAATGCCCTGTGCATTTGGAGGCCCTTCAGTTTGGATGGTGGAAACAGGTACCATTCCCAGCCCTATGTGCTTGCCAAGCACTGTTCCCCCTAATGCTCTGTACACATCTTTCCCAAGCCTTGCTAGTTTTCTTACATGCATGTACTCATCGGTTCTCACCTGAGTATCTACAGGGTCCCTCTGCAGATCATAGGAGCTCTCTCTTTTTCTGGTACTCTGTCCTGTGAACTCTAGCTGCTTTGCCCTCTCCAGCCCGTCAGCTGCATCTCATCCCAGGGAGTACACTGGGCTCTCCTTACATCTCCCCTGCATGACCTAGGTCTGGCAAACCTCTCAAGGAGGTAAGTTGGGGCAAACCATAGAGCTCATCTCGTTTGTTTCCTGTGTCTCTGTCCTTCCTTGTCTGATGTCCAGTGTCTTGAAAATTGTGGTTTCATATATTTTGTTCATTTTTATTGTTGCTGTTTCAGGCAGGAGAGTAAAATCTGGTCTCTGTTACTCTATCTTGGCTGGAAATGGAAGTCTTGGTATTCCAGAGACTGAATAGTAGACATGGGAATTTTGGGGAATAGGACAGGAATGTCTCCTGTTATAAATCAATACACTTTTTGTTTCTCTCTCTATATGTTTCATTTGTGCATCTAACATTGACTGAGTTTCCAGTATGTGTAGACACCATGGCAGGTGTAGGGATCGTGGTGAACAGCCTTCACAATTTATATTCTTTCATGAGTCTTGTTAGTATTAGGCAATCCTTGAGAGTCTGTTCATGGAAAAATGGTGTTTCTAGACTTGTGAATCTCAAGGCCAGACCCTGGAACCTGGAATGTGGTGCTTCCCATGTCCGAGGGACCAGGTGGTATCTTTCCGAGGTCTTTATTTCCTTCTGCTAACTGCAATACTAATTCTGTTTTAATTTGTGAAAGGGGGAAGTTTGATTTATTTAGCATCGATGAGTCTTCTTATTTTAATGATGAATCTCATTTCAAAGAATAAAGTACAGAAAACTTAACATTATTTCTGATTATAATAATGATTGTAATTGAAGTTTCAGTACCAAGGAATACACACATACATATATATATTCACAGACCATATGTACATATACATATGTATGTGTGCATGCGTGTGTGGGTGTATTTATATACATACATATATATATGGTCTCTGAATATTTTTTCTGAAGTGAACTTTGATGATATACAATGAAGCAGTTTATGATGTATGAAATCATTACAATCAGATGATCACTTTTCTCACAAGTTCTAAGATAAATATCTATAAAACAAATGTTTTCATGAATCGTATTGAAAAACTAGTGCTATCCATCTGGCAAAGATACACTTAACTCCAAGTTATACTTAAAAAGCCAATGCACTCACCATATGTCTCAATAATTTTAAGGTAAAATTGACTTGAAACAAGATGTCTGGGACACATATACCATATCCAGTTGCCCAAAAGTTCATCTGTTAACCATTGTTCTGGCAAGGAGCGTTGCTTTTTTTTTTTTTTTTTTTTTTTAAGTAGAGACTAACTCAGTTTTGTAAAGCTCAACTTTTTTTTTTTCTTACATAAAAGACTGTTCAACACTGATAAACTTTAATCCTCTTCAAATTTAAATTAAATTTGTCTCCAATATACAATCTTAAGGAAAAATATTCCAGGAAAAAATTTAAGTATAATTTACTTCATTTATACTGTAAAACACTGAACAAATGAATATATTATTCCATGGAGACAAAGTGACTTTCCTTTTGAAAGGAACTCCACTCTGTTTGTTTACTTGGGCAATCTTTTATCAAGTGAAGCCATTTCATAATTCAAGTCAGCCCTCTTGTGTACTTTGGTGAACTTCTTCCAGATTCTTTACTGTGATTCAGATCCTTATAATGAAATTTGTGTTGAAGTAATAATATAAGATCACAAAAAGTACGGCAACAAAGGGGATACATTTAGAGAGAAGTATGTTTTAAAGCTTTGTTTTCTAAATTCTAGACTCGAATTAAACCCTATTAAATGACTATTTTGACATAATGTAAAAGTTTGGTGTCTGCATATCTGTTATTTTCTCCTAAATGTTAACTTGCCCTCTTAAGTTACTGAGTAAAAGTATATAAACTGTCCCTTGTTACCTTTCAGGAATATTGGGAATACATATTGAATAATGTATGTGAAAAAAGCTTTATGTCATTAGTTGGAAAGGAAGTCTTTCGGTCTAAGTGTATGTTATCCTTCTTATGGAAAGACAAAGCCGTATTTGGTGATGTCACTGGTCTGGGAGAGGGGGCACTGCCAGCCAGAGTCACTGTGATCAGGAATTCTATCCGAGAGAACATATATCCAAGACTGATCAGATTTAGTTCTTTCTACCCTGGGGGTCCTGCCAGATCTCCATGTTCCCATCCAGACACTGAACCAGTAAGTAGTACATAAACCTCCATAGTTATGTGGTTAAAGAATGGAAATCGGCGAGGTGGAAGTAATAATTTTGTAAAAACCAGAATAGAGAATTTTAACAGAGGAGACTGGGGTTGGGAGGCGGGGAGGAAATGAAGTTAGCATGCCAAATAAATGTGTTATACGAGAATCATATACAAAGAAATATACTCTATTAGTTTGCTCTGTTCATAAAATGGAACTGGTTTAGGGAAAAAGGTTTTTCTACCACTCTTCCCTCCTCTCCATCTCTCTCTAATAATTATTGTTCCCAAGGAAAATTTATGAATTGCTTTGGAAAAATGTCCAAGCTATTTTGTGGCCGCTGTGGTTCAATTACATGAATTTCATTCACCACTGTAATTTTTGTATAATTTCCTCATCAGAAGGGAGTGCCTTTACCTGAAAAAAAAAAAATCCACAAACCAATATTTGAGAGAGTGACCACGCCTAATTATAATAAAAGTTATGTTATAATTTCCACATTAAAATTTTTACCATCTTCTGTTCAGTTCACATTAATGACCCAGAGTTTGTTGTGGGATGTTTCAGGGCTGGGGGTGTTACTGCAGTCTATTTTCCCTTGGTGGAAAGGTATACAGAGCCTACCTTCACTGCTCTTTTTGGTGTTTCGGCCAAGATGGGTGGCAGAATTCCTTTGTAAAAACCGAACAGCCTATTGGAGAAATAAAAGATTTTATGTAAAGGAACCAGGCAACAGCTAATTCTGCCTTTGTTTATGGACAAAACAACTAATCTTAAAGTATTCCCAATTATTCAATGTAGGACACCAACCATGAAGTCCTCTCTCGTTTTAATTCTAAAGTGCAGAGATTATGAATTCTAAGTTTTTTAGCACTATGAAATTCAGAAGAATAAATGATACTGAGACTGGAATCCCTAGGTACATTGCTAAACACAACAATGAGTTGTACCTTACAGCACTTGACCTTACTCACTGTAAGCAATCTTGGATTTTTTCCCTCAGTTGTATGGTAGGTAGCTGTCAACAGTTGTGCATTTTCTCCCTTTTTACCAAATGAGGTTAGAGTTATACCTGAGACCTGGGCCCACTAGACCAGAAATTCCTGAGCTACCAAGGGACACAAATCCTTAATTTTAGCTTTACTAACACAAAGGAACTAACAAGCTCTGTGGCCATGGAATCTGGGCTCCCAGCCTTGTCTTGAGTTAGTCATCATGTTTGAACTCCCTTGATGGAGATAGAAGGTCAGGGACATATGTTGCTGACAGAAGAAATGTCAAACTTGCTTGCTGACATGCAGTCTTAACAGTACCCGAGATGACACTGTTGTTGCCAATGTTGAGGGACTTGTCATATATTCAAATGTTTTTAGAAACAAACAAAAAAACAAAACCAAGAACGAGTGCCATATGCTTCATATAAGGTTCATAAAATGTCACCACTTATTTCATATTAGATTTTAAGATCCAAAATTTTCAATTTTGTCTGCCTGGAAAAAATTATATATGCCATACACTCATTTCTTTTTTTTTTCTGTTTTCTGTTTTCTTTTTAAGTAGGCTTCCTGCCCAACATGGGGCTTGAACTCATGACCCTAGGATCAAGAATCAGGTGCCCTACCGACTGAGCCAGCCAGGTACCCCTGCCATTTACTCACTTTAAACCTGAAATACATAAATAGAATATTACTCATTCTTTTCTGAGATAATCAGTTTTATTTCCTTTTTAAAAAATATCTTTTAATGTTTACTCATTTTTGAGAGAGAGAGAGAGAGAGAGAGAGAGAGAGAGAGAGAGACAGAGAGAATGAGCAGCGGAGGGGCAGAGAGAGAGGGAGACACAGAATCTGAAGCAGGCTCCAGGTTCCAGGCTGTCAGGGCAGAGCCAGAGGTGGGACTTGAACCCACAAAATCATGACCTGAGGTGAAGTTGGAGGCTTAACTGACTGAGCTGCCCAGGTGCCCTGATAATCAGTCTTCTTGATGAACCCATATATGAGTATAGAAAAGGGCAGGACTCAAGTGTGTGCATTTTAGGATGTCCATTTAACATGGATCTGGAGCTTCTCTGACCCTTCAAGCTTCACTGCAACTTTCTCTCTCTCTCTTTTTTTTCATTTTTTTAAAATGTTTTATTTATTTTTGAGACAGAGAGAGACAGAGTGTGAGCAGGGGAGGGGCAGAGAGAAAGCGAGACACAGAATCCAAAGCAGGCTCCAGGCTCCGAGCTGTCAGCACAGAGCCCGACGCGGGGCTCGAACTCACAAACTGCAAGATCATGACCTGAGCCACAGTTGGACGCTTAACCTACTGAACCACCCAGGAGACCCTCTTTTTTTTTTTTTTTTTAAGTTTCTTCGAGAGACACAGAGACAGCGCAAGTGGGGGAGGGGCAGAGAGAGAGGGAGAGAGAGAGAATCCCAAGCAGGCTCTGTGCTGCCAGTGTAGAGCCCCACTTGGGGCTCAAATACCCAAAACCGTGAGATCATGACCTGAAGGGAAAAACAAGAGTCTGACACTTAACCAACTGAACCACCCAGGCATCCCTCACTCCAACATTCTTACATTGGGTTCTGCTTCTAGCTGTGCTTCTGGAATAAGAAAGTTAAGAAATTATTTAGCCTAATCCACTTTGCCACCCAAACTAATGTGGTGAACTCTTGCTCTTCCTTGATTCACTGGCTTACAGAGCATACTTCAATTAGGAAAGCAAAGGGCTTGTTTTACAGCTTCTAATTGATAGCTCCTTGAGGGCTGAGTGTGCATTAGTGTGCTTACCCCCAGAGTGATGTGTATATGTAACCAGGACACAAATGTTTGTTAAGCATATGGATTTCATAAAGAGGAAGAAAGGAATCAAATGATCCCCTGATATGGGCTTACTCTACCCTCTGTTTTTTAAAAAAATGTTTATTTATTTGTTTTAGAGAGAAAGAGAGAGAGAGCATGAGTAGGAGAGGGGCAGAGAGAGAGTGTGAGAGAGAATCCTAAGCAGGTTCCACGCCTCCAGCACAGAGCCCAAAGCTGGGCTCAAACCCACAAACCATATCATGACCTGAGCCAAAATTAAGAGTCAGATGCTCAACTGACTGAGTTGCCCAGGTGCCCTGTCTAACCTCTGTTTTTGACTTAATGGATAGTGTTAGATTTATGAATAGGAAATAAAGCAGACACGTGATTTGAAGAACCATGGAAATTCATACTCCTACCTCCTTTCCATTCCAATTTCAACTACTGACGCCTGAAATTCACTTCTAAAATTTAACCATTCTTTATCATTTAAATTTCATTAGAAATTAATTATCACATGATTTTCAGCATGAGAGTGACTAAGCATAGCTTTGGTCTTCCCAGAAGGTAAATGTGATTTTCTTGAGCAGAAGTTCTATATTTCTAATGAAAGACATTAGTTCTGTTCTTTCTGTGCTGAGTTTTCCATATCTGGAAGATTATACCTCGTTTGGGGGAAAAATTAAGAACTTTTAAGTAAGTAATGCTTCCATAACTGAGTGTTCCTGTTAATAACAGAGGTACTTGAAAACCCATAGAACAGAGAACAGTTATAGGAAGAACACTTGCTCAGCCTGGAGAAGAACAATCATAGGGAGAAACATAATGAACGTGATGATCTCTTGAAAGGTGAGCATGCAGGAATGAGATTGGACTTTTCTGTTTGTTTCCAGGTGGTAGAACTAGGACCAACAGGTGGAAGCAAGAAAAGACAAATTATTGGCCCAGTAGGAGCTTAATACAAGGAAGTACTCCTAATAGTCAGAATTATCTGGACATAGAATGGTCTCTCCTGAAAAATGATGAGTTCTCCTTCATGGCATGTGGTCAAGCAGTCTGGATGGCCACTTGTAATGGATGCCAGAGATGGGATATACACAGCAACAGATGAACTTGCTCACCCTCAAGACGGGTCCACTCCAACCCTCAGATTTTGTTGTTCTAAGAAAAATAACAGGAGGATATGGGAAAGTGCTTTCCTGAAGAGAAAACTCTGCCTTACTTCAAACTTTTGCCTAAAGTAGAGCACTGCTTCTCTGAAGGAGGACAGAAATCTTATAAGTAACACAGAAGGTCTTCATTTTAAAAATGATGGGAGAAAATATTAAAAAGAGGTGTAAGGCAGGAGGGAAGAGAGGCAGCTGGGAGAACCATAAGGATTTAATCCGAAAACTGCTGGGAGGTCCAGAGCCCTCTGCTTCAAGTTGGCGATGCTTCCTTGATGTGCCCTCCTTCCCTTGTCTCTGCTCAGTTCCTTTCATGTGTAATCATCCTCCACCACCCCCACCGCCTCCAGCCATCCCACCATCCTAAACTTTCTAACAGCGAATGAACAGTTTTAATGGGAAATTCTTAAGGACCATCTTTTGCTGGCAAATGGGAATTTAGATCTATTTCCTTGCACTGTTTTCACAGTATATCCATGCAATAGTGGACATCTATGGATTAGTCAGGCCGGCACCTCTTCTGCTGAGAACTGCCTTGCCCAATTTTTTTAAAACACTGGAAGCAACACATTAGTACAGTATGATACTGCTTGTAGGCAGCCATTGATTGGGCATCTCACCAATGGATCCAAATGGTATTCCACATCTTTGCCCCCTGATCCAAGCTAGACCTAGCAGAGTTCTTCAGGATTTGGGGATTAGAACTGAACAGGTCAGTCTCGCCCTGTGTGGTTGACACTCTAAGATATAAAGATAGCATGTCGATGGTACTCATGTTTTCTGTCATTTGGAGGAGGTCAATCTGCAGTGATAAAAAAGAAGGAAGCTACTGTTTAGGGAAGCACGGAAGCAGGATGGAGAACAGAAGATCTGGTACTGTGAGTATGACCCTGCCGCCAGCAGCTCTTTTTCTTTTTTTTAAACACTGGTTTTATTTTTTCGGGGCGGGGGGAGAGGAAGAGGGGGAAAGAGAGAGAAAGGGTGAGGGAGAGAGAGAGAGAGAGAGAGAGTGAGAGAGAGAGAATATCCCAAGCTGGCTCCACTGTCAGCACAGAGCCTGATGTGGGGTTTGATCTCACGACCCTGGGATCATGACCTGAGCTGAAATCAAGAGTCGGACGCTCAACCGACTGAGCCACCCAGGTGCCCCAAGCATTTCCTTATGCTTAGTTACATCTCAGTCCTTATTGAATACTGGCATTTCCCTTTGCTTTTCATTCTTTAAGATACCCAGTATCATTTAGAATAAATTCCTTTTTTTTTTTTTTACCTAAATTATTTTGAGTTGGGTTTATTATTTACAACCCAAAGTCCTGGATCCAGAAAGTAAGTTTCATGACCCCTACAGCCAAAGTGGCTGCTACAGCATCTCCATACCATGCATGCCCTCTCACATGAAGAGCCTTTTTGTCAGTGAAGATTGACACATGGGCCAATCAGAAGAGTCACACCCAAAATTCGAAAAGGAGAATGTGGTAGGCAAGGGCTCAAGCTGATGAGCTACTTTTTTACTTGATTAGATAATTACTGGAAGTTTTCCTAAGGTAAGGTATGATATACAGATTCTAAGAAACAAAAAGGAATCGTGATGTTTTATGAAGGAGATAAACTTCTTTTTTTTTTCTGCCAAAGAACTAATCTTTATACCCACATGTACTGTTCACTCTGCCAACTTTTTCCCGTGTTCATGTAGTTTTGGCTGCACTCTACAGAGCATGTGGCTTACCAAGACAAT